GGATACAGGGTAGGAGCAGTCAGACAGATAGGAAAGGAGGTAGGAAAAGGAGACTCATAATGGCAAAGGCTGCAAAGAGGTCAAGAAAGATGAGTATTCAGAAAGGACAATTTAGATTTCTCAATTAAGAGATTATTGGTAACTCTGGATAGAAAGGGTGGCAGTGGAATGATGAAGTTAGAAGGCAGACTGTAGAGAATTTTAAGAAGAGAGTGAGAGAAAAGGAAGTTTGCAGATGGCTTTCTCAAGTAGTTTAGCTACAAATGGAAGAAGAGATATAGGATGAGAGCTATTGGATTGGACATCTAAAGTGAGGGCTTTTTGAGGATGAGAGACATATGGTTGTGTTTTTAGGCAGTAAGGAAAAAGCCAGTATACAGGGAAAGATTCAAGATTAGTGAGAGATTAAGGGTGAAAGAAGGAGCAATCTTCTGGAGAAGACAGGGTGGAACTGGAGGCTGGGAAGAGGACAAAGAATAGGGTTAGGGTGCTGTAAGGCAGTAGAATAATTACAGATTTTGATCAGATAAAGGAATTTCAGAGTTCTTGAACAAGGAAGTGGTACATTTGTAAGTGACCATTTCTGTGTATGGGTGAGGTAGGTGGAGGAGTAAGTGATAGGAAATTAGTAAATTGAGTAACTGGGAGGAATAAAGAAAGAGGTTAACTTCTTATAAGTACAAAAATCTTTATAGCAACTCTTTTGTCAAAAAACTGGAAAATAAAAGGATGTTAATCATTTGAGAATACCTGAACAAATTATGGTATATAAATTTAATACAACGCTATTGTGCCTTAAGAAGTGATGAAAAGAATGACTTCAGAGAAACCTGGGAAAATTTCTATGAACTGATGCAGACTGAAGTTTATACAAAATAACAATTTATACAATAACAACAATATTGTAAAGAGAAATAATTTTTAGAGATTTAACAACTCTAATCAATGCAATTACCAAACAAAATTCCAGAGGACTGAAAATGAAGCATATTACCTACCTTCTAAGAGAAAGGTGAAGGACTATTACATCCAGATATATAAATACACACACACACACACACACACACACACACACGTATACACATATATGTATATATACATATATGTATGTATTATGTAATTTGGACCTGATTACTGTGGGAATTTGTTACACTTGACTATACATATTATTTGTTACACTTCACATTGCATATTATCAGCTTTGAGTTTTGTTTTTCTTTTCTTTTTTCCCAATGCGGGAAGATGGGAAGGAGTGAAAATAAACCTTTGTTAGTTGAAATAATTTAAATTTAATTTCAGAAAAAACACAACATACGCCATATTGTTCTAAAATGTTATAAGTCTTTTGAGAAAGCAACAGCAATATCTAGAGACCTAGAAAGGATCTTAGGGATCATTTAATCCAATCCATTAATTTCAAATATTGGAAAACTAAAGCACAGAGAAGATAAATGAGTTGACCAAGGTCACACAAGAAATTAATGGCAGAACCAGGTATGGAATCTGAGTCCCAGATCTGTGTTCTTTCTTATTATGTTTTGATTAATGAATCAACAAACATTTGTAAAGTCAGGAACTGGGGAATTCTAAGACAAAAATGAAACAGCCCATGCCCTGAAGAAGTTTACATTTCACGGAGGAATCAACAAGTACAAATGTAAGTGTACACAGATATAAACAAAGTAAATATGAGATAATTTCACTGAGAAGGCAATAAGGTATTAGTACCTAAGGGAGATCAGGAAAAATTCATATAGAAGGTCACACTTGAACTGGGCTTAGAAAGAAGTTTAGGATTCTAAATAGTGGAGGAAAAGAAGGAGAGCATTTCAGAATGGGGGACAGCCCACAAAGGCAGAGAGATGAGAGACCATAGGATCATGGACCCCAAAAGGCATCTAGTATAGCTACACCATTTTGCTAACTGAGGCTCAGGGAGGTAAAGGAATTTGTCCAAGGTCACACAGCCAGTGAGTATCAGAGGCAGAATTTTAACTTGTGTCCATCTGACTCCAGAGTCAATTTCTATTTCCACTGTACCACAGAGGTGTAGCATCACATCTGAGGAACAGCAAGATGGCCAGTTTGGTCAGACGGTAAAATATGGGCAAGGGAATATGTTTTCATTTTGTTTTGTTTTTGGCAATTGGGGTTAAGTGACTTGCCAGGGTCACACAGCTAGTGAGTGTCAAGTGCTTGACCTGAGGCCAGATTTGAACTCAGGCCCTCCAGACTTCAGGGCCAGTGCTCTATCCACTGCGCTGAGGGAATGGATGCAAGTTTTAAAGGATTTTACATGCCAAATAGAAGACTTTGTATTTCTTCCTAGAAGCTACATGGAGTGGGTGGAGCTTATTAAGGAGGAGCATAAAATGATCAAATCTATGTTTTAGGAATAACACCTGAAAAAGAATCTTAGAGATCATAAGATCAAAGACAGCTGAAGGAAAATTTAAAGTTAATCTCATTTAACTGTTTCATTTTATTAGGATTAGGATTAGGAAACTGAGGCCAGATTGAGGAAATCAGACAAGATTGCAGCTGGTGAGTGGCAGGTCCAGGATTCAAATGCAGATATTCCAAATTCAGCACTCTCTTCAGTACCACCATAGCTGAATCCTTCCAGAAGCTAGCCCACTTTGAGCAAGTTTCAAGCTTTTCTCAGAAAACTATTTGCCTAGTATCTAGCTAAGCTCAGAGACTTCATAGACAATCAATAACAGACACAGAGCACCACAATAGTTTGCTTGTGGGCCCAGAAAGGAGAGTTTTTGCAATCCAAAAAAGCAACAACAGAGATAAGTGCCTAGTTATCAAGAATAAACATTTAAAACAGGAAGCAACTAGATTGTTCCACTCAACTCCGCTCCATCCCCTTGACTGAGACATGTTCCATACCACTTGTCCAGAGAAAACTGTATGAAATTGAGGAAAGAAGCCTTAATTAGTGTCCACTGAAATTTTCTTCTTTCATATAACTTTTGCTGGTGGGCAGTGACAATTATGGTAGCCAAGTGAAATCACACCGTGGGGCTACCACATAATGATTTTGTGATCTTGGAGGTGTGCACTATTGACTCTGCAGAGAGGGGGGCCATCTTTTTCATGGCTCAGTTGAGTCCTGGAAGCATAACACGGCTCCCGGTAAATTCAAGGCCAAGTCACACCCCTCCGTTTTGTGGAACTGCTCTTTTGTCAGATATATGTGAAAATCAAGAATAGCAAAGTGATAACTAAAGGGAAGAGAAAATATATGATCTATGCAACATGAAATCAATAATGAGAGGGTGCAGCCACAGAATTATATTACCATTTGCAGGCTAAGCTGGCAGTAAGGGCTCTCTAAAGACCTACAGTGGCTAACCAGTACATAGGGAGGTTATGGCCCAGCAGTATTTCCTTAACTTTTGACATGTTGCTTGGAATGTTGGGGGTTGGGTAGGGTGTGGAGAGCAGGGCTGAGATAAGTGGGATATGCAACTGTAGTACAACCTGTCCAAAGAAACCTGGGGAAGCTTGGTGGCAATTGGATTCTAGGAGTTTCTAAAATGGTGCAAAGTCCACTCACCACCAGGACTCCCCCTTTCATGTGAATACCTCTGCTTACTACTTTAAGAGGTAGCACACTCAGGACTGGGTTATAATAATGAATCTTACATTTATTAGTCATGTGCCTGGCCAAGTACCTTGACTTCAGACTCCCAGTCTCTTCATCTATCAACTGAGGAATAGTAGATCCATATACTACGTATTTTAAGACATTGTTGAAAAGGAAGTGTTTTGCAAATCTTAGAATGCAACAGAAATGTCAGTTGTTATTATTATAGTGGATTATGTTGCAGACCCACATACTAGGATATTTCATCCAAAACACAAGGGTCCTTGTCTGCTTTTCCTTATGTGTCCTGCATTATGCCTCATAATTAATGACTCTGCATGCAGTGAGGATCAATATGTGTGGCTTAATATCTATATCTATGTGTGTGTATGTGTGTGTGTGTGTATACATATATATATGTGTATATATATACATATATTTAAAATTGATATCTTTTATTTGTTTGTCTTTTACAATGAAATACTGTATACTCCCTCCATTCCCATTGAATCCTCCATTATTACAAAGTAAAACACTTAAATATAAGTGATGAAAAGAGCAATCAATGGATGGATGACTCCTTGTGCAGTCCCTTTCCTAGACCAAACTCCCTCTCCCTCAACATCCACCGATTCTCTGACTTGTCCCACTATCATCCAGTAGTTCTCATCTGTGGTCACCAACTTACTGACACGCAAAAAAAAGAGGGAGTTCAAAAATGTAAAAGGATATCTATAGATCCTACTGCCCCATCCTCTTCTTGACAAATTTGTCATTTTTTTTCCCCTTAAAACCAAAAGTGTGGTTCTGTAAATGACAGCAGCATCTTAAGCCCAAGGACAGATGTCCCCTTTTTCTGTGGGTCATGTTCCCACTTTCAACAGACCAGCAGCACAGGCTAGAAATACTGATCCATAGCAATCAGAATGCCTCTTTCTCATCATGTAAATAGTTCTGAAATCCTACCTCCTCCATGAACCCTTCCTGGCTCAGTCAAAGAATTGCTCCCATCCATTCACGGACTAATAATCACGGTTAATCTTTCTGATCTGCCCCACTGAAATACATCATCCTCCCTTTGTCCTCTGCCATTCAAAGGCACTGATGCTTTGGCCTAAGTGACATAACATTGTCATCTGGCCTATCTGGCTGTCCTGTGCAGGATTATCCACATTTGTTTGTCTTGTCGTGCACAGACACATAAAATTCAAGAACAGCAAAGATGGCACATGTGTGTCTGTGTGTCTATATGTACATGCATGCGTGTGTTTATTGACAAGGGGACATATGGAATGAAGAGGTTCTTTTGGTTCAGCCCAAATGCTATGAAGCATTTTAGAGGATGCTTACTGATGATAACAATGATAATGGAAAAGACCTGTAGAAAACAAAGGACATTTACCTTGGAGGTGTAAGTGTGACCATCAGAGCCGCAGACAAGGGAGGTGTGTGCAGAAGCTGTGCAAGGTTTGCACTTGACTACATTTGAAGCTCCATCCAGTGTTTGTGGGCCATGTTCCCCTTCTTTTGCCTAAGACTATGAAACAGAGAGACACACACAAAAGAGAAAAAAAAAATTAGTGGAAACCTCAAATAGTCCAGAGATTTTTCTTTAATGGATGGTGGGTGGTGAAGACACTTACTGCAATAAAGCCTAGACCCCAACTATCCAAAGCTTTTTGTTTTCAATCAAGCAAATTCCTATCCCTCCCCCCCCCAACACCAGCTCTCAGATATTCTTCCTGTCACCCTGAGGAGAAGCCAAGGTAGAGCAGATGTAGATTATAAGCACCTGCAGTCAAGAGTTTGAAAATGACTTTTTAAGAACCAGATAACCAAGTTGTAACTCCAGTCCATCAACAGAGTCATGAAAGGGGGCAGTCACTTGACCATCTGATCTGTTTGCTGTCCCAGAAACTGCTTCTGGGAGGGACACATTTCTACCATCTCACAGGGAAAGGAGAGCTGTTAGACGTTGTATGTATTAATGATCCAGAAAAAAAATAATTAACTCAAGAGCCCATTGGCCACTGAATAATTAGGATTCCCAATTAATTAAGCTTCACCAAGATAGGGGGACATTCTTTTATTTTATTTTTTGCAAGCATCGGCATCAATCAACAAAAGTTCATTAAGAACCTACTATGTGCCAGTCACTGTGCTAGGTGCTAAGAAAACAAATAAATGAAATGAAATAATCCTTGCACAAGAAGCTTACACTCTGGAGGGTGGGGTGTGAAAAGGAGAGACAAATACCATCTGTCATGTATAGATACAATTAAGATTTTCAAAACATTTTCCATTTGATCCTCATGATAACTCTCTAAAACAGGTGATATTACATTTTTCAGGTGAGGAAACCAATCCTCAGAATGGTCACACAGGGTTACACAGCCAATAAACATCAGGGCAGGATTCAAACTCAGTTCTTTCTGACTCCAAGTCAGTGGTGTTTCCATTATACCACCATACGCTCAACCTAGGATTAACAGGATTAATGAGGGGGTGAGACTGGCTAACCTTTGAGGTCCTTTCCAGCTCTAAGTCTGTGGGACCTAAGAAACCATCTCATGCAATCCTTTCATTTCACAGATTCAGAAGCTAAGCGTCTGAAAGGTTATGCTATTTGCCCGTGGTGACCTAGACAGTTCCAAAGCTAGGACTCAAACCTAGGCCTTATAACTTCAAATCCAGCCTTCCTTCCACCATATCACACAAAGACCAAGATGCACATTGGACAAATGTTCCACTTTTGAATCTGAGGAAAATGATATGTAGTCCTCTTTCTCTGTCCTCCCTGGGTTCTGTCCTCTAAGCTGAGCACAAAGCCTGTCTGAGTGGTGTAGATAGAAATGCATTCCTAAATACAACTGAATGACTTTATCACAGCTGTGGAAAAGTATCTCTGGATACATTTTTAAAGCAATTTCATTCCAGCTTGCAATTTGCCAAGCGATAAAGACTCCAAGGTAATGTCACTTTCAACCGTTAAAATAATCAAAATTCTATTCTTTCATTTCAGCTCAAGTTTTCTACAATTCTAACCTTTGTCATAATGATGTATAGTGCTATTAGGATAGCTTGTGTCCACAGAAGGAACCCCATCACAGTATCACAAACCAGTAAAATAAAAGCCTGTGGTCAAAGCTGTCATTTTTCTCTTATCAGGCAGCCACTCTCCCAACAAACCACATTTAGTAACTCGAGTAGCTTTCAGAATGAATTCAGCTCTAAGGATAAATATTACTAGGCCAATCATAAATATCACAGAGAGAGAGCCCTCATTGAGATTTGCTCACGTGAAATGATTCTACAGAATAGACACCTGCTCCAATACATGCAGGATATTGAGCAATGAATTCCCAATAGCACTTCAAAAAATTATCTTGACCTTAATATATTTTTACATTGCCTCCTTCCAGAACCTAGAACAGGCTTCTGTATACAGTAGAAATTTAAAATAAATGTTGATTGAATTACAGTGAATCTGCCTACTCAACCATCCTTGGTAAATTCATAAGTTATCAAATGGCATCTAGTTACCAACTACCTTTTTAGAAAGAGAAAAGGACATTACACTATACCTTTCCACCATCAGCTAAAGCCAAGAAAGCAGGCCCTAAAGATAAATACTGATTAGACCAAAGAGACAGCTTTCTGCTTATTAATAGGACAGCCCTGTTTTGATTCAAAACTGTTTTGTCCTTAGAGAGCAAGGGGAACCCTTCAGACCTGGACCAGATTGGCTAAAATGGTAGAAGGAGAAAAGTGACAGAAGGAGAGGATGTGGAAAAATTGGGACACTAATTCATTGTTTGTAGAAATGTAAAATGATCCAACCATTTTGGAGAGCAATCTGAAATTACATCCAAAGAATTATTAAACTACTCTATGGACACAATAAGAGAACATTATATACAGTAACAGCAATATTGTTTTAAGAAAGACTTTGAGGGGCAGCTAGATGGTGCAGTGGATAGAGCACTGGCCCTGGAGTCAAGAGGACCTGAGTTCAAATCCAGATTCAGACACATGATACTCACTGGCTGTGTAATCCTGGGCAAGTCACTTAACTCCAAATGCCTCACCAAAAAAAAAAAAGAAAGAAAGAAAGACTTTGAGCCAACAGGATATTTTGTCTATTATAAATACTCAAATAAACTATAAAGGACATATGCAGAAAGACCCTATCTGCATCCAGAGAAAGAACTGATAAATAGAAGAAGCTACAAGAAACCATCTTATGCAATCCATTCATTTTACAGATTCAGAAGCTAAGGGTCTGAAAGGTGACCTAGAAAGCTGCAAAGCTGGGATTCAAACCTAGGCCTTATAACTTCAAGTCCAAATACACACACACACACACACACACACACACACACACACACACACACACACACACAAATTTGTATCTAATGGTAGCTATGTTGGCAGGGGGGTAGGGAAGAAAAAAAAATTTATATAATACTTTTGGTGTATATTTTAAAGGAATAGCAAGTTGTTCACAGCAGATTTGCAGTTTCATGTATAATCTTTTTTAATTGTACTATGTTTTGGAAATGCTTGTTTTCTTCCATAAATTAAAAATTAATTTTAAAAAAAGAGCTTGGAGTATTAAGATAAGACATTGCCTTTTGCCCTCAACTAGCATTTGACCAGGCTTGACTGGAAGTATTAAGCAGAGGTTCAAGGTATAGCTCTTTTGAGCTCTCTTCCTCTTCCTCACTCTTTCTGATCATGCAGACAAGTAAATGTTTCTTGTCTGTTTTCTTTTACCTCCCTTCTCTATCTGGAAAACAAGAAAGCAGAGGATTTGGTGCTCTGGTTTTTCTACCTTGCCACCTTTTCCCTAAGAGGTTGGCACAGGACAGGCCATTAATACTCCTTTTTGGGCAGCTGTAGATGTAAAGCTAAGAAGTATAACATCAGTCTTTTCTCTCCTTTTTCATCTCCCTGTGAAAAATCTGAGATGTCCAGCGCTTTTTAGTCAAGGTAGATCTAACAAAGTCCAAGATGGATATTCATTGTCAATCTTCTTTAAATAATAATGTGTCGTATTTTTAAGATTGTTAAGGATGACGATATGTTCCCTTTACACTTCTTCCTTGCATGTGTGACTGGAAAAGGAGATGAGCTTATCATGTGGCAAGAGTGAAGGATAATCAATGGACAGCTCATATGATCCACTGGCATGCACAGTTTTAAAAAAATTCAAGAAAAGATAGATGGACTCCCTTCCCTATGACAGACATGTACAAGCACATAACCAAAAGTTACACAGAATGAGAAAGAATGATGTGTATTCACATCAAAAAGATAATAGGCCCAACAAAATATTTTAAAATTGTTAAAGATTTTATTCTCAAATTGTAGAAGTCATTTTTTGGGTTTCAGAGCCAGGAACTTCTATGAGTAGATATTGTGCTTGGTAGTCCTTGTAAAATACTCCTTAAGCAAAACTGTATGTTATTATTAATTTATGCTATATATTTATAGATTATATTATATATTAATATTATGAATACATTATCAGTATATTTTATATTAATTATTAAATGTATTAAATATAATGATTACATATTAATATGTTATATATCATATATTATAGATATTTATATATATCTTCTATGTCATATTATTTATTTTTATTTAGTAGGCCTCCATCCAGGAACCATTCTATTTACTTATTTTGATTTATCAACAATAACTTCCATAAGCTTTTGAGTTTTAAATTTTTCTCCCCCTCCCTCCCCACCTCCTTCCCCAATACGGCATGCAATCTGGTATAGGCTATACATATATATATTCCTATTAAACATATTTTCACATTAATCACGTTGTAAAGAAGAATTAGAACCAATAGGAGGAACCTCAAGAAAGAGAAAACAAAACAAAACAGAAGAAAAAAAATTGCAAATAATATGCTTTGATGTGCATTCAAACTCCATAGTTCTTTCTTTGGATGTGGATAGTATTTTCCATCATGAGACCTTTGGAGATGTTTTAGATCCTTGCATTGCTGAGAAGGGTTAAGTCTATCAAAGTCAGTCATCACCCAATGTGGCTGTTACTGTGTACAACATTCTCCTGGTTCTGCTCGCTTCACTCAGCATCAGTCCATACAAGTCTTTCCAGGTTTTACTGAAGTCTGCCTATAGTATTCCATTACACTCATATACCACAACTTTTTCAGCCATTCCCCCATTGATGGGCATCCTCTCAATTTCCAATTCTTTGCCACCACAAAAAGAGCTGCTATATATCTTTTTGTACATGTGGGTCCTTTTCCCATTTGTATGATCTCTTTGGGATACAGCCCTAGAAGTGCTATTTCTGGGTCAAAGGGTATGCACATTTTTATAGCCCTTTGGGCATAGTTCCAAATTGCTTTCCAAAATGGTTGAATCATTTTACAACTCTACCAACAATGCATTAGTGTTCCAATTTTCCCACATCTTTTCCAACATTTATCTTTTTCCTGTTTTGTCATGTTGGCCAATCTGATAGGTGTGATGTTGTACTCAGAGTTGT